CACCCCCAGGTTTTATGCACAGAACCAGCAGCTGGGAAGCGGGGCACGGGGCCACTGCAGCACCCCCGCACCCCTACTTCCCGTACCTATGGCAAGTGCTTTGTTACAATTCAGTCCTCTTCAGACCTATTGCTCCTTGGGCCTCGCAGTAGCTGAACTTCAGGTTGGTCGAAGCGATGAGAAGATTAGTGTGTTGACGTTCCCTGTCGCTGCCCACACTGGGACAGAACGTCTGGGTGGAGGAGGAGACAATCGGTAGGTCACCTCGGACTAGTCTGGCTTGCCATGCCTCAGTTTCCCCATCTGTAATAATCTGGGCAAGAGGCTTTGAGATGCGGGGGTGACAGGTGTTATCTACATGCAACCTAGGGTCATTACAACCACACTGTGCTCGGCCTGTCACCATCTCTGCCTTTCTGTGAGACCCCTTTGCAATCACGCCGGCCAGGCAGAGCCCCCGTGCGGCTCTATGGGGCGTCACACCGACTCAGCTCAGCTTCGAAAGGAACTGTGGAGATGTCACTGTCGCGCCGGCTGAAGGGCCCATGGTGGGGCCCTGCGTGCAGCAGGACAGGGGTTAACAGCCCAACGGGATTCTCCACCTCCAGGAACCCAACATTTTCTCTGCAGTGGAAGCCCCTGGAAGTCCAGCTGACCCACCTGCCTCTAGTCTCCCAAGGCCAAGGACATTTCACCTGCAGCTCTCAGCATACTCAACAGCCGTCGGCCCGTCAGAAATTCCTCCTGCTCTTGGCTTCGGGCTGGGTGGCAAGGAACTCCCGGCCCATGGGAACTTGGCGAAGCCCAGCTGGGGGGACCGACGGGCACTTATTCCCTTTGGGGGCAGGGGGCCGGGCCCAGCCTCTGAAGCATCCTGTGAGTTTCCGAATGTTTGAAAGCGAATGTAGGGCTGCCGGAAGGGGTGCCCGGTTATCTCCAGAGCAGGGACAGTGCGAGCAATGGCTGGGCGAGCAATGACCCTCCCACACCTAACGCATCCCTAGGCGCAGCGTCTTCAGCGCGCGCCTCCCCGCCTATCGCTGACCTTCGTGTTTTCCGTAAAAAATGAAACGAAAAGAACTATAAATGCAACCTCCCCGGGAAAGCACGAGACCCTCCGCTGTGCCCAGTGCTCCCAGCCCGAGCCGGGGTGCAGCCAACGCACCCCCGGCGAGGTGCAAGGAGGGGCCTGTACCCCTCCCCACGGCGAGTGCTCCCCGAGTGTCTTCCGTCCCTCCCGCAGCCCGGTGTGCAGCAGCCGTGCTCTGTCAGTGCAAATGAAGGGGGCACCAGCCACGCCCCAACCCCTCCCTGCCCGGCCCGGGGTGGGGGCGGCTGAGATTAGGAAGGGGCTGGGACACTCAGAACATTCAGCACCCCCAGGCGGGCTGATTCGGACGCTCACCCTGCTCCAGCCCCACACGCTGGCCGGCCACCAACCCGCGCCAGGAGCCCGGCCACCCGCTGGGGAGCTGTATTAACTTTGAACCCACTTTTTACTTTTAGGTGCCCCTAGAACACCGGCGCCCCTAGGCACGTGCCTACTGTGCGTCAGTGGATATCCGGCCCTGTCCTCCCCCAGGAGATCCACCGGCGCGCAGGGACTCCTGGCTGAGACTGCCAGGATGGGAGCCAATCCATGCCCCAGGCAATGCCCCTTCCCGCGCCCGCCCTGCTGGGAAAGGTAGGGGACCGCCTGGGGACCAGCGCAGTTAAACTGACTGGACGCCCCAGCCGGAGGACAGAGACGCTTCGAGCACCCAGCAACGAGGCCTCAAAGCCCGAGTTCCATTCACAGCCCATTGAGTTAACCCACCGGCAGCTGGGCACCTGCCACCCGGCTCATTTCCGAAGAGCCAGAGACTCATAAAACGCTTTCCGCCGGGGGAAACACGCTTTGCCTTCGGTGCAAGAGCCACAGGCGGCTGCCGCAGCCGAGGCAGGGCAATAACAGCCACAGGGATGCGCCTTTAATGGACCCATAAAGAGCCCCGGGGAAGGAGCGGGCTCGGTAGGGAGTCGGCAGATTGCCCACGCCGGGAGCCAATTACATCCTTACAACTAGATAATGACCGGCAGGAGCCTTTGATCCAGCCAGACCCCCCCAGCTCCGAGCAGGACGCAGCGGAACAAGCTGCTCGGCTTTTATTTCATTAAAATGTTGTTTGCTGGTTTGAAGTGGATTCGGCTCAGGGGAAACGCGTGGCCAGCAGGGCAATGGCTTCTGCTAACCCCCAGCTCAGCCGGGCTAAGGCATTGAACCGGGACTCATGAGAGCTTGCTTCCCTGCTTGGCTCCGCCACAGATTCCCCAGGGGACCTTGGCCTAGTCACTTGATGGCTCCCTGCCTCAGTTTCCCCACCTGTGAAGCAGAGGGAGTTCTACTCCTCCCTTGAGCTGTCTTGTCCCATTAGAATGTGACAGCACCTAGAAGAATGGGGTCCTGTCTCAGTTAGGTCTCTCTGTACTTCAAGGGACAGCGGCAGGGAGCGCATCCCACAAGCCACGGAGTGGGAGGAACGTTCAGCTCCAGTGGCCACTCCGTCCCCAGCCTCTTGGCTGACCCCCTCCAGGAGCCAGCGGAGAGGGCACTGGATGGGAGAGCTGAGTTTTATTCCAAGTTCTGCCAGTGACCCTGCCCAAATCATCGTGCCTCAGTTTCCCCACCTGCAAAATGGGGTTAATTCCAGCGGCCCACTTCGGTGGAAAGTGCTTTAAAATCAAATGGGTGCTAGATAAGGGCGGCGTGTGAAAAGGCGCGGATGGGTTTTATTACATGGACAAATTGGTCAGTACAAATGGGGCTGAGACCTGTTAACTCGTTTCATATGATCCAGGCAGGAGGGAGTAACCCCGGGGTTCCCATTTAAACCAGCGACGATGACAGGGTCAGAGCATCTTTCTTCTTGTAGCATGCAACTCCTAACTCAGGGCCTGCTTCCAACCTGTGCTCTCCAGGTGAAATGTTTGCATATCCCCTATGATCTTGGCCCACAGAAAGCTGAGTGCAGGATTGGGACCTTCCAGGTGGCAGGATCTTGGCTAAGAGGCAGTGACCGGGAAAAGTCTCCTCTCTTCCAAAAAGAAATATTTCTGATGGTGTGGGAGCTGCTTCTTCTAGGGCAGTGGTTTTCAAGCTGTGGTCCAGGGGCCCCTGGGGGGCGGCAGACTACATCTTAGATTTCCAAAGGGGTCTGGGATCTCCAGTCAAAAATTTTAAGGTTGAAAACCAGTGTTCTAGGGCCCCTTTCTACCAATCACCAGAAAATTCTCATAGTTCTTTTTACACCCATGAACCCTCCAACTGGGAACTTGAGGGACAGTAATTTTAGTTGCACAGAGCCTCACGGTGGGAAGTGGAGGTGAGGCCCAGAGTATAATAAAACCCACATTTTATTGTCTCTGAAAACATCCACTCAATGTGCAGCGGCAGTCAAACAAGCGAACAGAATGCTGGGAATAATTAAGAAAGGGACAGATAATAGGACAAAAAATATCATGTTGCCTCTACATAAATCCATGGTACACCCACATCTTGAATACTGCGTGCAGATGTGGTCACCCCATTTCAAAAGAGATATATTGGAATTGGAAAAGGTTCAGAAAAAGGCAACAAAAATGATTAGGGGTATGGAACGGCTTCCATATGAGGAGAGATTAATAAGACTGGGACTTCTCAGCTTAGAAAAGAGATGGCTAAGGGGAGATATGATTGAGGTGTATAAAACCTTATCTACTTTCTCCACACCAGTCATGGAAGTGTTGTTTACTGCTTCTCATAACACAAGAACTAGGGGTCACCAAATGAAATTAATAGGCAGCAAGTTTAAAACAAATAAAAGGAAGTATTTCTTCCCACAACACACAGTCAACCTGTGGAACTCCTTGCCAGAGGATGTTGTGAAGGCCAAGACCATAACAGGGTTCAAAAAAGAACTAGATAAATTCATGGAGGACAGGTCCATCAATGGCTATTAGCCAGGAGGGGCAGGGATGGTGTCCCTAGCCTCTATTTGCCAGAAGCTGGGAATGAGCGACAGGGGATGGATCACTTGATGATTCCCTGTTCTGTTCATTCTCTCTGGGGCACCTGGCACTGGCCACTGTCAGAAGACAGGATACTGGGCTAGATGGACCTTTGGTCTGACCCAGTAGGGCCATTTTTCTGTTCTTATATACCATCAGTCATCCAACATCCTTCACAGGCTTTATTGGTATGTCGGTTCCTTCACCTAGCAGCGAAATCTAGGCACCTCTGGGGTGGAACGCAGCAGCTATTTCACAGCACACAGGAACGCTGTGAAACAGTTCAGGGCAGGAAGTGATAAAGCATTCTGTATCTAAATTCAACAGGAAAAGGGGGAGAGGCAGCAAGTGAATTCCCCCCTGGTGGGAATGTGGCCAGAACAATGGGAGAACTCTTCTGAAAAGTGCCAGCCCAATCTTTAATAAGCACAGCTGTGTAGGAGAGTGGGTTTTTCACCTCACTGTTCAAATCAGCAGCCCTGGGATTAGTTGAAACCATCTTAAACAGGCTGAAATTGATGCTCTCCAGAGGAGTAAACGTTTTAATGTTGTCGGTTTTAAATCTAGTTCATTCCGCTAGAAAGGTCGTTAGCTGGCCCCACTCCTGAAGTATCTGAGCCCCTCACACCCTTTCCTGCAGCGGCTCTCAACCTTTCTAGATGACTGTCCCCCTTTCAGGAGGCTGATTTGTCTTGCGTACCCCAAGTTTCACCTCACTTAAGAACTACTTGCTTGCAAAACCAGGCATAAAAATACCGAAGTGTCACGGCACGCTGGTACTGAGAGATGGCTGACTTGCTCATTTTTACCATATAATTATCAAATAAATCAATCGGAATATAAATATTGGACTTGCATGTCAACGTATGGTATAGAGAGCCGTATAAACAAGCGTCTGTAGGAAATTTTCGTTTGTACTGACTTGGCTAGTGCTTTTTATGTTGCCTGTTGTAAAACTAGGCAAATAACTAGACGAGCTGACGTACCCCCGGAAGCCCTCCGCATACCCCCATGGTGCGCATACCCCTGGTTTAGAACCACTGCTTTCATGAACGTACGCTCCCAACAGCCATAGGAAACAGAAGGGCCATTTTCCCCATTCTGCGGCTGAGGTGTAGAAACACTAAGAGACTGGCCCAAGACAACCCAGGAAGGCTGTAGCGGAGCAGGAAAGTGACCGAGGGCTTGAGTCCCAGTCTCCCACCCAAGAAATACAAACATGGATCCTTCTAATGAGAAACCTTCACCATGGAGACTTGAAACTGAAAATGAATTATCTAGTGAGTTACAGAGCGGTCTCTTGCTGCGTCTGGGCACAGCGGAGCCCTGATCTCAGATACAAATCATCTCCTCTCGCCATAAACAGCCAACCCCACGTCAATCGCTCCAAATAAAGTGCCTTTCCTTAGGGGCTAAAGCTGGTCTATTCCCCCCATATCACTCTAGCTAGAAATAAAACAAGCAAACTCACACATGACAGCGCTCTCTGCAGACTGACGACCGGATCCCCGGATTCGCCAGGGGAGTAACTGCTCCTCTGCCAATGTAATCACCTCCTTTGGCATTCGGCAGGTTGTGCCCTTTCCCTCCTGCAGCCCAGTCTCTGGGGAAAGGGCAGCCCGGCTGGCCACAGCATGAGTGCCGAGAAGGCACTGGGGTGTGATGGGAACAGACAGTCTTCAGCCACTCCCCTACTGGGGAAGGGCCAGGGGAACCAATAGGTTTTTCCCATCTTCAGCTGGGCTGGTTTGTCTTCTCCCAGGCTGAGAAGCCTCCCCCCTCCAAATCGCTGGCAGCAGGCCTGGGAGAAAAGGATGGGGGGGCAATTCCACTAGTAAATGCACACACAGGGAAGCATTGAGAAGTTCTCTGCTGAGCTCTGGCTTTCCCCAGGACTCTCCTTCCTTGGGGAGTCTGGTGTCTTAACGGGTGAGACCTGCCAGCAGGGCATCCCGCTGGACTGTAAGGTGGATAGAAAGCTGGCTAGATCGTCAGTCTCAACGGGTAACAATCAACGGCTCCATGTCTAGTTGGCAGCCGGTTTCAAGCGGAGTGCCCCAAGGGTCGGTTTTGTTCAATATCTTCATTAATGATCTGGAGGATGGTGTGGACTGCACCCTCAGCAAGTGCGCAGATGACACTAAACTGGGAGGAGTGGTAGATACACTGGAGGGTAGGGATAGGATACAGAGGGACCTAGACAAATTAGACGATTGGGCCAAAAGAAACCTGATGAGGTTCAACAAGGACAAGTGCAGAGTCCTGCACTTAGGACGGAAGAATCCCATGCACTGCTACAGACTAGGGACCGAGTGACTAGGCAGCAGTTTTGCAGAAAAGGACCTAGGGGTTACAGTGGATGAGAAGCTGGATATGAGTCAACAGTGTGCTCTTGTTGCCAAGAAGGCTAATGGTATTTTGGGCTGTATAAGTAGGGGCATTGCCAGCAGATCGAGGGACATGATCATTCCCCTCTATTCGGCACTGGTGAGGCCTCATCTGGAGTACTGTGTCCAGTTTTGGGCCCCACACTACAAGAAGGATGTGGAAAAATTGGAAAGAGTCCAGCGGAGGGCAACAAAAATAATTAGGGGGCTGGAACACATGACTTATGAGGAGAGGCTGAGGGAACTGGGATTGTTTAGTCTGCAGAAGAGAAGAACGAGGGGGGATTTGATAGCTGCTTTCAACTACCTGAAAGGGGGGTTCCAAAGAGGATGGCTCTAGACTGTTCTCGGTGGTACCAGATGACAGAACAAGGAGCAATGGTCTCAAGTTGCAGTGGGGGAGGTCCAGGTTGGATATTAGGAAACACTATTTCACTAGGAGGGTGGTGAAGCACTGGAATGGGTTCCCTAGGGAGGTGGTGGAATCTCCTTCCTTAGAGGTGTTTAAGGTCAGGCTTGACAAAGCCCTGGCTGGGATGATTTAGTTGGGGATTGGTCCTGCTTTGAGCAGGGGGTTGAACTAGATGACCTCCTGAGGTCCCTTCCAACCCTGATATTCTATGATTCTGTGATTCTCGACGTTCTGCAGGTGTCCATGGCCAGGCCAGGGCATCCAGAGACTGCAAGCTGCCCGAAGCACAGCCTGCCCGTCCCCACCACACCCTTCCTTCCTGCCTGGGCTGAGATAAGTTTGCCTCAGTGTGCAACAGAACGTGCACAAGCACATTAACAGACCCGGGCACACCCCCCCCCGGCACCACGCCCGCCTCCAGAGACCAAAGCCGCGTAAAGGAGAGAGGGGACGTTAAAAGGGTGCAGGATAAATTAAGAAAATGCAACGGGCCGGGGGGCCCCAAGGAATCATCAGTTTGCATTTCGCTAGCATCTCTCCTCAGGAGATCCCAAAGCGCTTTAGCCAGCAGGTAGTTAAGGCCCACCGCCCTGTGTATTATCCCCCCTTTTATAGAGGGGGAAACCGAGGCACGGCGGGCATGACTCACCCAGAAGTCACTGGCAGAGCTGGGAACAGAACCCAGGAATCTGAGTGTCCAGGCCTCTGAAGGGGAGGAGGCAGCCGCAGGACAGAAGCAAACTGCAAAGAGCCTGGCTAGATCAGAAGCCCAGGGGCTGCAGGCAGCGAGGGGGAACAGAGCCCTCATGAGCGCAAAGCCCTGATGCCAAGACCCTCCCAACTCCCCAGAGCCAGCTTCTTGGGCTGGGCCAGGGCAGCAGGGAGGCTGCTATCCACCCCTCCCCATACAGCCTCCAGGGGAACAGGCACCGTCTGCCCTCTCTGGTTCCTGCATGGAGCGGGCCAGCAGGGACACCGGTGATGCTTGCCTGCCTTCTGGGGCAATGTGTGTGTGCGTGTGTGGGGGGAAAATCACCTCCCTTCCAGGGTGGGGAGGAAAAGCCATCACAATGTCTGGGCCACACAGTCCCTTCTCCATCATCTTCACCTCCTCCAGGCTTGGCATTCTCCCCCTCTTCCCAGCAGATCAGCTCCCCTCCGGCCACAACCCCCCGGCCCTTGCTGGCCTGACTCCACAAGGGGTCCTCCCTCCCCCAGTGTTTGGTTTGGTTCCGGAAGTCCCTGCT